CTCGAGATATATCGAAAATACTAAAGGGGGGGGGGGCAAAAAATGCCCCCCCCCCACCGCCTGGAAGGTTAAAGACTGGTATGGGTCCTCAGAGACCGGCATCGATCCTTCAGAAGCCAATCATGCTGGGCACCACCAGAATCGGCTCAGGTGTCTCTTCGGGTGACTGGGAAACAAACTCGACCAATTTCTCGGACGAGTGCCGGCCTGCCGTATCCAGCTTTACGGCGAACACACGCACGTGCCTGGAGGCCGGAGGGCACTGTCACATCTGTGGGGAGGCACACCGCTCGCGGGCCTTTATTACGGAGCGAGCGAAGCGAGCGGAGACTTTCCTTAGATTAACGGAAATTTCTGAGTATGAGCGGCCGGCCGTGCGGACGCTTTTGCGAGGCTTATATCTCAGCAACCACTTGACCGATTTACATGCGGTAATTTTTGTAGGGTAGCTTCATTCCTTCTACCAAGTATTGGACTATTCCCGATGCATGTGGGTGACCCCTTATGCACGTGCCACGTGCAAAACGAAGAGGTGTCAGTTTTGTAATTGTTGCAATATCTCGGTAACTACTTGGCCGATCGCGCTGAAAGTTGGCATGTAGGTAGGCACCCACTAGGCACTGGATATCCATGTGCCAGAGTTGGGGTGCTGCTGCACGTGCGCACGTGCAGGGGTCGTTTCCAGATCTCGAGAACGGCTCGACCGATTGCGCTCAAATTTGGTACCGTAAGGTGCCCCACCTTACGGTACCAAATTTGAGCGCAATCGGTTTTTTATTTATTTATTATTAATCGGTTTATTTTATTTATTTGAGACAGTGGGGCTATTTGAGACAGTATTTAAAATCGCTATAAAATAAAAACCACTTAAAATTTATGCTTAATTTTTTGCTCAGGCGATTTACTGCTCGATTCCACACCTCCCTGAGCAAAAATATCACACAAAAATCAAACGATCTTCATTTTATAGCGATTTTAAATACTGTCTCAAATAGCCCCACTGTCTCAAATAGCCCCACTTTACGGTACACAGTTAGGGACCGGTTAGCAGGGTGCCGTGCACAAGTCAGTTGGGACCCATTTTGCACGTGCGCACGTGCAGGGTGCCGCTTCCAGATCTCGAGATTCGAGAACGGCTGGGCCGATTGTGCCCAAATTTGGCACATCGCTAGAGACCGGTTAGTAGGGTGCCGTGCACAAGTCAGTTGGAGGTACCCCCTCGAAATTTCGCACGTGCAAGGTCCACCCTCTCGCTCGCTCCGTTAGTCGCCCCAAAAGGCGTTATACTGGTATTTACCGTGGCGATGTTGACGCGACCGTTCGCAAGGCAAAACACACGTGTTCGGAGAGCTGAACAAGTTGCGCCATTATCGTGTCCCGGGTTCTTTGCGTGTCCCCAGTAGAGGGAGCTCCAAAAACTTCTAGGGACAATCCCTAGTAGTTTTCGATGAATCCAAAACTTCTAGGGACAATACATACATACATACATACATACATACATACATACATACATACATACATACATACATACATACAATGTTCCTAGTGTCCCTAGTGGCGGTGACGCCCATGTAAAATAAATATATGTTACAGTTTATATGTGCAGCATAACAGACATATGGCGCCAAAACTGGCGCACCATCCGGCATAACTGTGCACGAAAATTCCAGAACACCAGGTGACAATTATATTTTTTGTGCAGGTGAAAAAAGTGGTGCAAGATGATACGACCTTAGCTAACTTTAATAGCCTCACTCTACATTTGCACCATAAACCTGAGTTAATGACTGCCCAGACTGGCCTGATGACCGGTTGCGAGTCCAGCCCCAAGCCATCTGGGTTGACGTTTGTGACAATGCTTGGATGATTGAGACTAAGGTGCAGACTGGCCTGGTTGGTCTTTGGGCTCCTAACTGTTCAAGTTGTGTCTGGACTTGGCACCTAAGCCAAACTGTAATTTTGGAACACTGCATTTCACCCATCCGCCGCCGCTATCTTCGCCACAGCCCCTCCTGAAGCTGGTCCCCATCACGTAGGGTGCGTCGCAGGACGCACGTCTGGCCCGGCAGAAGAGTCGGACTCAGCCGTAGACGCAGAAGTAGCTCCACTAGCTTCTTCATCAAAATCCAGCGTATTTGGCCAGCTCATCGGGAATGGGAGAAAGCTAGCCCCAAGCGACTTCGAGGTTCCATGGGGCGAAATATTTGGTGCAAAACCAAAGCACTAACGGTATACGAGTGGTAGTGTCTAGTGTGTCATCGAAATGTACCCTGTGGTAATGTGAAATAAGTAATTGGCTTTCACCCATGGATTTGTAATGCTTGAGTCACAAATCTGCCCTAACCCCAGGCACAGATATATAAATATGATGTGCAAACTGCCAATTATTGGAACTGATCTCCCCAAATAATACCTATGCTGAATCTCAAGCTTCTAGGTTGTAATATGTAGGAATGACAGGATCATAAAGTTTTTAGAGGCATGGTTTTTATGTTCCTCACCATACATGCGAGGTTACACTCACTCACTCACTCATTCACTGACTGACTGACTGACTGACTCACTCACTCACTCACTCACTCACTCACTCACTCACTCCAGGACGAGGTTCCACGACACTGACAGCACCCGGCTTCCGGAGTCCAAGGGGGGGGGGGGAGAACCAGGGGATCTCAATACATGCATACAGGGGTGCCCCAAAATTGATGCGCGGTTGTTTTATCCTCAATAACTTATAAAGTGCTCGAATTTATTTCACGGATTATATGTTATCATAGTCCCCATTCAGTTGCATACAAGGCCTATTGCACTCTAGCGTGTCACGTTTCAGGTTGTCAAGAGTCAAGAGTTTACCTTTTCCCTCAGCATCTTTGTGGCATCAGTCTTCTTCAGCACCTCGATGACATAGTAATAAGCAGTCACGGTCTGTACCCGAGGCACCTCGTGAAGCTCAGAGCGCCTCTGTAGCTCATCATGCTCCAAATGAGATTCTTCAGCAGACGTTTCACCGTCTCGACAGCGGACTCCTCAGAGCTGCCGTTGGCCCACATTTCGATCGTTCTGGCAGTTAGGGGCTTAGAGACCACAAAGGGCACCTTGTCACTGAAAAGGACGCATCTCCAGTCCTGAATGATCCAGTTTTTGTGGGTCTTGGCGAGATCCAGCTGCCTGCACTTCTGGACCACGGTAGGCCAAGTCTGCATCTTGAAGCTGAGCAGCTTCAGCTTCAAGATACCTAGTCTTCAAATACTGGTGGGGGGTCGATTTGGATGCTGGGACATGCATCTCATTCAGTTTTCTTGTCAGCGATGTTGAATGGTGCTTTTTAAAGGTCGACTTTGCAATTTCGATTTTCGCCACTCGGCTCAAGGTAGTCTTCCGCCCTCGAACTGTGCTGTTCTTGAGTGTCTCTCCTGATCGTTTGCGGTCCATCCAAAGTTTAATTGTCGCAGAGTTGACGCCCAATTCTCTGGCATCCGGAACCTGGGTCACACCGTCCTTGATCATCCCCACCGCGCGGGGGGGGGGATGCATGCTGTTATGTGCAAATATTTGTGGTTGATATTGTTGTTTTAGGAAGACAGCAGCAATGTTTCCCCTCCATTGATGATTGCGAGGACTCGGTCTGTACCTAACGGGCAATAGACAATCTCTGTGTAGTGTGTCTGGCCATGGATGCTGTGCTGAGCCCTGTGATGATGCCAGAGGGCTATGGTATGGGCTGCAGAACTGCTGGTGAGTGATGAGCAAGGTGTGCATATGCTACCTTCATGTTCATGGAGGTTAAGGAAATGGGTCAGGACATGACCTGGTAACCTGGCCTTGTATGAGCTGGGTCTGAACTTTCACATGCATGAAAAAGTCAAGGAAATAGGTAATAAGTATCAATGAGGTCATGCATTAAAATGCTTTGTGATTTTAGAATGCAACGCTCAGCTTATCTCATTCCACTTGCATGCTTATGTTTGGCTCTGTCTACCGTCGCGACGTAAATGAGTGCTGACGATCTTCATGTCACCAGTGAGGACTGAGGAACGCTCTGAACCACATCCAACTCCACTTGTCCCAAAGATGCAAAAGCAGTACGTGCATTCCTCTCCATTATTTTCGAGTAGAGAGTGTCTGTATTCGGTTACTAAGCTTATAGTTGATATCTGTTTTATCAACCATCTCACGACTTATCGCTGATGATGCCCGCGATAGTTACTCATTTTCAAAGCCATTTATAGAAACTGCATGAATTCATCCACTTTAGTGTGCTAAGTGCTTTACTTCAAACGTCACACAACACATGTCAAACAATCGTCATTCGTCATCTTATCTTCAAATTGTGTAACCACAGTGTACTCACTCAGTGACGTCAATGCATCGTCACATCAAATGAACGTCACAACGATAAATGTTAAGAGGTTGTCGAAGATGCCGAATATTTATAGCTACGCGATTCCTTCGATATTTACATATCCACACACAATATTTATCCGTATCACGTTACACATGCTAGTTAAGAACCTTTGTGGTTCATAAATAAAAATTGATTGCACAAATTGAAGGCATTACGATAAGGCTTTGATTACTGAAAGCAGCAAAATTGACTCCAGCATACATAATGCTGATGAGAAGGAACAGTTACTACCGTAATGCTCCTGCCGTGACCTTTTACCTGACCTTTCCCTTATCCATGGCATGGTCAATGGTCAAGGTCATCAAAAGCCAGGAGTAAACTACGCCCTTGTGTGTTCTTTTAATTTTTGCATTAGGTAATTTGTACCCTTCATCAAAGTATGTATTGTAACCCATTAAATTGAACTTTATCTTGCAAAGCGATATGTTCGTCCCAAAGTCGTAATTGCTTTTATCGCTGGCTCCTCAGCTTGCAATTGACGGTTACCACGTGCCACTCACTCCCTGGGTTATCCCGACACGTATGTGTTATCGCACCCGGTGACTCGTCAGAATGGGCGGGAGGGGAGATAACACCGGCCTTCATATCGCCCCGTGTCGCCGTGTCGCTCTCCAGTCGAGGCTCGGGGCTCGTGCAGGCACGGACTCTGATACCGCTGCGGCGCGCACGTGAGTTGGCAACACGCACGGCGCCGTAGGGTGTAATGTGCTAATAACGTTTTGATCTCTACTGCACTTTCTCTGAGTAGATGGTGCTCTTCTGTGCCGAAGGTTTTGCTTCTTTTTCTTCTATCCCGTACATTTATTATTTTCTCTTTTGAAACTACCCCCACGCTGGGCAAATCGAGTCTTCGTTTCAACCGCCTTTGCGGGAGTCCCTTCCCCTTCCAGTCTCGCCCTCCCACGTAGCTCCCGCGACGCTGGTGAAGGGGAGCCGGCCGACTTGGGTAGGCTAGTGGCGGCGGCAGTGTAAGCGGCTGTGTCGGGGTTTGTGGCGGTCTGGAACGGACGTGCATCCCTTTATTCGCTGAGACAGACGTCGAATAGTTAGTCGTGAGATCGAGAGGTAAGGGATAAGTCCAAAGCTACGTTTTAGACCGAAATGTGCGCTGGGGGCCAGCTTTGTTTTTAGTAATGTGCTGGGTCATAGTTTTACCCTGTTCCACTCTGCTAACAAAGGTTTGGCGATTTGTAATGCCGAGCATGTGGGCAGCTCGGTATTGACACAACGGAACGGTGCAATCGTAGCCGGTGCGGAGCGAGAAGTGGTGCAGCGCAGCGTTGCCGGGTATTCATGTGGATGTGGCAGGACGGAGGGGTAACTTGAGCTGGTCTGTGTCCGATAGGTGCCGGGGAAGTGACAAACGGGGGAAGGGATAGCCGGAAAGTGACGTAACCGCTGCTACCCTCACCGTCAGTGTCGCATCAGTGACATCGTGTCAGTGGTGTCCAGACGATGACGATTCACGATGTCGTGTATCGGCTTTGTGACTGTCATCTATGCCCCATCTGCCTTGGTACCCCATCTCACTGCTCTGTTCCTATTCCCCAGGAAGCGAGAGCCGAGGTCTGTTGGGGTGCTCCCAAGACTCGGACGCGGAGGAGGCGGAGGCACCGGGACGGTCAGCCATGGAGGCCGCTCCGACCGGCCGCCGGCGGCGCACCTGGTGGGATCAAATGGTGGCCACCGTCCGGCGCAACGTCACCATCAAACTGAGACAGAAACGACGCACTACGGTGGTGAGTAGATGGGAAACAGCGCACCACAGTGTGGTGAGTATACGGGAAACGGCGCACCACAGTGTGGTGAGCTAGACGGGTAACGGCGCACGTAGTGAGACTGGAAACGGCACGCTACAGTAGTGAGTGAGACGGGGAACGGCGCGCTATATAGTCTGACAAACCTACTATGGACGTCAGACCCCTTGAGACCCCACTTTTTTTGCGATACTTTTTAAATGCGTCAACTCTCGTTGACAATATTCTGGCAATGTGTGTTTCAAAACCTGCCGAAACTTTTACTACTAAGGTATTTTAACGCCGAACGATTATGAAAGGTACTTCTCATTCACTCGTAATGTTAAATTTCACGGAACGAATCTGCTGTTTGGGTAGAGGCTACGCGCTCATGGGGCGGAGCCACGTAATGACGTCAGCGCTAAGCTCCACCCTACCCCTCCGGCGCTCCTTGCCCGGCGACCGGTCACTCGCGTCTCTCGCTCCATTCAGGCTTGATGGTGCGCGGTAGCTGGTAGCGGTAGCGGGCGCTGGTAGATGGCATTTAGAGCAGATGGCGCTGGTGGCGGGGCTCGAGTGTGGCCGAGCGCAAGCCTCTGCCCGGGCCTGAATTGACCTTAGCATTACGAGTGAATGAGAAGTACCTTCCATAATCGTTTGGGGTCAAAATACCTTAGTAATAAAAGTTTCGGCAGGTTCTGAAACACACGTTGCCAGAATATTGTCAACGAGATTTGACGCATTTAAAAATTATCGCAAAAAAGTGGGGTCTCAAGGGGTTTGACGTCCATAGTAAGAAAGAACGGAGCTAAGGCGCCTCCAAAATACGTGCATTGGACATTGGAGATAGCCTACCGGCGCTGAAATTTGACAGAAATAATCTCAGGCGCTTTGGATATCTAAAGAGGTACGTGCATCAATAACTGCTGCACTTTAAATCCGTTCTTTCTTAGCTTTGTCAGACTATAGTTAAGTGGTGAGTGAGACGGGAAACGCGCACTGGCAAGAAGACGGGAAACACCGTACTGATGTGGCCAGAGGGGAGTCGGCGCATCGGTAAGGAAAGCGGGAAATGGCGCACCGAGGTGCTGAGTGAGATAGGAAAGTCCAGTGGTGAGTTAGATGAGACACGGCGTATTGGGATGGTAAGACGGGACACGGCGCACCATTTAGAGACCGGAATCTGGACCGGTGCACAATGGGTCGGATGCGGTCGCTAGCACGCCATAAATGGTTTTGGTGACTTTCCCAAAGTAACGTAAAATATGGTGCAAACGATGCAAAAATGTTCGTATTTTTATATTATGGCAGTTATTTTGCCCTGTGAAATCGTATTTACACATTATACCGCCGCAAACTGACATGTTTGGTGAGGCTCCAAAGCTCCGGTTAAAATAGCGATAACCGTGGTGGTCGAATAATGCCAGTCTACACTTAATAAGAGAAAGTGGGAAGAATGGGTGGTCCAGCCTAATACTTTGGAGCCTAAACAATGCAACAAAACTGATTTCTTGCTTTTGCGTTTCGTTTTCCTCTAATTTTACCGTACTAAATTAGTAGCTTCTGAGATACAACAGAAATTTCATCCAGACTTACAAACATAGAGCAATACTAAATGCCCCCCAATGCCCCCCGGAGTTTTAGCTATTACAATAGTCAGGAACACCTCCCGCACAAGAAACGAGGTCGTCTAGCTGCGACCACCCGCGACGAAGCAAGTTATATAGGTTTTTTTCTCATCTGATTTCTTGGCTCTCCGCTGCCGATCAATGAAATGTGTTCTCGGAAAATGTGGTCAGAACTTTAGTTTTGGCGACAGAAACAAACAATTATGCGCGAAGACCTGGGATAAGCAGTTCTTACAAATGAAAATGTTGGATTTTCAAAATTTTGGCCTTGGACCATTTAAACCAAACAATGAACTTGTTTTATATAAGCATTAAATAAACCGCATAGTTAAAAAAAAATCAAAAAAATGTTTTGATATGCTAGAAGACAATTGTTCAGTAGCCTCCACACAAAATCTAAAAGAGTTCGCTCAATTTTTGATACCTGAATAACACCGAAATGTCAAAAGGTATTGGTTAAAAATCTTTAAAAATGATTTATGACCGTTCTGAAGCACCTACACAAAAGCAAATTACACCATTGGATTTCTCGTGAAAAATGCAATCCGATAGACACCGATATTATGCGCATATAAAATATTGCAAATTTAACCCTTTTTAGTTTCACATTTGCCTGACCCTACCCAATCTTTGACGTTATTGGTAAAATACCTAGAAGCCGCCTATTTTGATGCATCGATCGGGCATGTGAAATAAGGGATGAAACATGTCTTTTATGTAATTTCTCAACATGGATATGCTATCTTGGTGGGTCTTGCAACCGGACAGGGATATTTCAGCTTTGAGGTCTTTCGCGATGTGCATGCGCAGCTTGAGCTAGAAACTGCAACAACACTATGCAAATTTTGACGAATTCTTTTCTGTCTAAGGACGTAGCCAAGGGGGAGGACGTGCCCCCCTGATGGCAAAAAATATAAAAACAGCTGAGCAACACCTCCAAAAATAGTGGGCCGAATCCGAGGAGTCTTCCATTTTTGGAGGGGGTATGACACTAGGCAGAATTCTGGCTACGTGCGTGTTTCTATCCGAGAGATACATGTGTAGTTGCCACAAAGATATGCCATACGTGGACAAGGTTTTCTGTAGCAACGCGATGCGATGGATATTCATCTTTTTTTTTTTACTTGATCCTTGACGTCATGGGGTGAGAGTGAGACCGAGGTCTCAGGGGTGAGTTTTTATCAGAAACAGTGAACAAATTATTATCATATTAGATGCGGTTGAAAATAAACATTTGCCATGTTTTGAGCCTCATGTCAGCATTAGAGCATCGATGTCCAACATCACGTCACTAATACGTCACTCCTGTCTCCTCTTACGTCACACGTTTCATGGTAAATATCGTCGAAAACCCATCTGGGATGCTATATCTCTCATGCTTGACCCATTAGCTGCTAGTTAACAACAGTTGGGATTTTTGGCGTGCTAAATCGTGAATCGGACCCATAGTGCGGTGGTGAGTGAGAAGGGAAATCGCGCGTTGTAGTTTGTGATACGGCCGAATAATGCAGGGTTGGTCTGCGACTTCAGTCAATTGCCTTCTACGACAGCCATCCCTGTTCGATTCCCGAGCTAGGCACGTCACGTGGATGAGTCGCCTTCTGCCCGATTGAAGGAGAGTTCCTTTTAGCACTGTGTCCACAAGATAAGGAGTTTAACCAACTTCCAACCTACTTCCAAACCTATGAGGAACGGCGTTGCTGTATAAATCGTACTTGCTAGAATCGTGGTATTTGATGTTGGAATGAATAGGTGCATATTGCATTGATGATAACGCATGCTGTTTTGTCATTACAGACTGTTTTTGATGCCGTTATGCGATAGTACATAGTTCATGGATCAATTATCTATGTTGACGTTCGTTCCGTTTAACTTTGAAATAATTCAGCTTTCACTTTCAAACATCTAACCTTACAGTGTTAATTATTTTTTATCAATCTTGGAACATCAACCTTAATGCAGGCATGCATACATAGTTGTTGCTGTAATGCAGGCATACATCACTTGCTGTTGGTCCTGTTATGGTATATATTAGGTCGTTCAATAAGTAACGAACAATCGGTCATAACTTCTTTATTTCTTTATTTAACACTTTCAAACTTTCACAGATTATAGATCAGACATTTCTGAATGCAGCCTATGCCTCAAACCAGCCGCCGCCCGCCTGCACACACTTCTCCCAGCGTTCCGGCCAACGCCGGAATTCCGCCCGGAAAACGCGTTTTCCGTCTTTTTCACCCAGTTCATGACAGCGCACATGACTTCAGCGTCGGTCTCGAAGTGTTCACCACGGAGGCCATCCTTCAGGGGACCAGAGGTGAAAATCTGAAGGAGCCAGGTTCGGACTGTAGGGCGGCTGGGGCATGATATTCAGCCCTGTCACGCGTTCTCCTCGCGCGTGGCGTGAGACAAGTGCGGTCGGGCGTTGTCATGGTGTATGGTAATGTTGTTGACATCCGAGCCGCGCCTCTTCTTCAGGATTGTTTTTCTCAGTCTCCTGCAGGACTGTGATGTAGCGGCCCGCTGTCCATAGTCCGCCCAGGTTCAAGAAAGCCCACCAGGATGACACCATGACAACGCTCGTCCGCACATGTCTCACGCCACACGCGAGGAGATCGCGAGACAGGGCTGAATATCATGCCCCAGCCGCCCTACAGTCCGAACCTGGCTCCTTCAGATTTTCACCTCTGGTCCCCTGAAGGATGGCCTCCGTGGTGAACACTTCGAGACCGACGCTGAAGTCAGGTGCGCTGTCAAGAACTGGGTGAAAAAGACGGAAAACGCGTTTTTCCGGGCGGAATTCCGGCGTTGGCCGGAACGCTGGTAGAAGTGTGTGCAGGCGGGCGGCGACTGGTTTGAGTCAAAGGCTACATTCAGAAACATTTGATCTATAATCTGTGAAAGTTTGAAAGTGTTAAATAAAGAAATAAAGAAGTTATGACCGATTGTTCGTTACTTATTGAACGACCTAATAATACAGCGCCACTATATCGCTCTAGCGTTGCCGGCTATTCGCCTGACATTACAAAAAAAAAAAAATGTCGCCCGAATCATGGATGAATGGGTGAGATTTGGTCCCGGTGCCACGCTAAGCGCCGCGGTGCTCATTGCGAATGACACCACTGACTTGCCACCCGATCTTGCACGCGCCCGTTTCACCGGAGATAGTTGTATTGAAAAGTTTACCGTATATATGTTGCGGGCCAAGTGCGAAGGCTAGTCCATTCGCGAATGGCCTAGTCCAAGTGCGATAACGCACTTGGACTAGGCCGTTTGCGAATGGACTAGTCCATGTGCGTTATTGCAGTTGGCCTAGGCCGTTTGCGAATGGACGGGCGTTTATGCTCCCAGTCCAAGTGCGAAGTCAGGCCAAGTGCGAAATATCCAGCAAGAGGTCATCTGGAGTCAGCATTTTCACATAATGTGCGCAGAATATGGGAGAAAAGGTATACAAAATTTGGCTTTGCTGCGCGCCGCCGTTTTCTCGTGATCTGTGAAAAACCACAGGGGGGTTGAAAGCAACCCCCCCCCTGCAGTGCGCGTATTGTTAAATGCAATGCAACACAACAGTTTTTCGAACACTCACCGCACCGCACTCACCACACACAAGCCGCACCGTCCCGGTACACCACACCAGAGCAGAATGAATCGAGCGCCACAAACTCGACCAAGGTCAGGTCGGGTCATCAGCGGGGAGCCCGGAGCACGGTACTAATGGTCTCCGCACACCACGCGACTCTCCGCTGTTCGAAGGTCACGGGGATATTTGACCTCCCCCAGATCCAGATCGGTGGCCGAAGCCTGGCCAGCGGCAACACGTTGCTATAATTTCCGCGTTGTGCAGGGTTCAGCGGAAAGTCGCATCCCGAATGGACCAGGTGTGTGGAGACCTTAACCCAGAGTTGCGCCAGCTCGCAGATCTGCTCCGGAGAACAAACTAAACATATAGACGCAGTGGCGTCGCCACGGATTTTCGACTAGGGGATCTGGTCGGACGGTCAGTCAAAGTAATCCCCACCAAATACTGAAAACTCCTCGGATTTAGACAATTTTATTTTGAGAATGCACCAAAATCGTTTTTAAAATATTTTATTTTATTCTTGATCTATTTTCGTGGCCAAGAGTGTGTGTGTGGGGGGAGGGGGGGGGGGGCGTCGGACCACCATATTTTCAAGAATGATCGTACCCCAATCCGAGGATCCATGCTTCCGGCGGCTAAGTGCAACGCCACAAACCCGTCCGTTCGCAAACGGCCTAGGCCATTCGCGAATGGCCGGCCATTCGCAAACGGACTAGTCCGTTTGCAAACGGACCGCCATTCGCAAACGGCCTAGTCCATTCGCGAATGGACTAGTCCGTTCGCAAACGGACTAGCCTTCGCACTTGGCCCGTAACATATACACCTATTTAATGGTGTAACTAGATGGTAGATTGCGACAAGGTCCGCCCAGATCAAGCGTAGCACTCCCTCTCCCCCGTTTTTAGCCTGTTGGCTATTTTGTGAACAATAACTACTTACTCCGTGGTAAATATGTAAATTTCACCCGCTATCGTCTTTCCGTGAATGTCGCGTGTTTCCGTTGATGGCACAGTGGAGCCTGTCCTCGGCATTTTGCAGCGACAGCAGTCGTATTTCATTGTGATAATTGATACTATGCTGATTGATGCGTCACTTATTCCCACTATGAAGGCTTAGTGGCGTAAAGTAATGTTCACTTATTTGCCGCACGAGCTAATTTTATTAATGCGTTCAAGTGATGGTAAATCCTTTGGGTTTGCGGGAACTGATGCAGTCATTTGTCTTGCTTGTGCTGCCTGTTGATAATTTCAGTTGTGCGAGTGAAAGGCAAAAAAAAAAAAAATCGATGTTGCCCTCTTCTTTTTTTACTCTATTTTCCTTGTCTATTTTTTTGCCTCCGAACATTCTTTTGCTCGTTTTCTTGAGTTAACCAGTAGTATTTCGCTTTGTTGCCATTGAGTATGAATTGATTAACGTTGAGATCAATTTAATTTTCCTGTGAGTCGGCTAAGCTGCAAGCTATCGCGGCTATTATCTATGTAATGCACGCGAATCGAGACAGTAAACGCTGGGAGCCAGCTTCAACTCACTTCAAATGCAGTACTCATTGTGCTAGCCGTCATAGCTAGGTCACTGCGCACTACGTAAAACCAAGAAGCAATACTTTGCCAGTTGCCACCAAAGATATGACGTACTTAACATTTATCTAAGATGTTCTTTGCTAATTTTATAGGCGTAGCGGTATAAGCTGGCATGTGTTGTTTTTTTGTGTTATTTCATGCCAGTAAGTTAACCGCATTGCTTTCCATGTTTTCAGCAAGTGCTGGCTATGTCATACAGAATGTATTTAATTTCAAAACTAGTAATCTCAACTGTCACACCAAATTAATGCATTTGCCGATACAAAATTTTTGTAACCTCTCCTCCGTATCATTTTCTCGGTTCATCAGTTTCCCCTCTCACCACCCTCCCCTTTCACTTTCACAGGAGGTGTTCATGCCCATCTACATCTTCGCGATCCTGGCTATTGTGCGCGCTGTGCAGCCGGAGACCTCCTACCAGGCGGTCGTCTCCGAGCACGGGTCCGCCGTGGTCACCGGCCCCCTCTCGGCGGCACCCACTCTCCAACTCCATGTCACCCCTGACGGGACGGCCCAGCGGGAGTTTGGCCGCCGGTTGGCGGCGCGACTGAACACGTCTGTTGAGTACCACGCCACGGAGGCGGAGCTCGAGCAGCTGAGCGCTGCACTGCCGGCCCAGCAGGTAGTGGCCGGTCTGGTGCTACCCCCAGAGCCGGGCACGAGGGACCTCGAGTATACAATCCGCACCGATCCGAGACTGATGCTGAGTGTAGCCAGGTGGGCCAGCGTGGGTCAGTGCCGCGGCCAGGGCGCCGAGGAAGGCCTGGAGAACCCGGCCACCTGCCCGACCAACGACTACTTCTACAGCGGCTTTCTGCAGCTGCAGAGTCACATCGACGCACTCATGATGGAGGTGAGAATGGCGTGGGATATGGAAGGGCTGGGTTTTTGTCGTAGAAGATGAATCATTGTAAAGCAATGTGTTGTGATGGTGATGCGCTCAGCATCTATAACTCGGTTGTCGTGTGCAATAAGTGTGCGTAAGCACATTTGATCGACAGCGCTTCGAAATATGGAGTTGGCTCCGAGCATTTCAATGTTCGCCATATATTTAAATATATCGTCACAAGTATAATTACGCATAATAGGGGGTTATACACACTAAGAAGCTACATGTACTCTTGGTTCCATATAATCAGGTTTGGGTGAGTATGGACCGTGTGTCTTCCGTTTATGCCACCGTAGTCTTTCTTTATGATTGGAAATGTCGAGCTTAGCATCGCAAATGTCTCTTCATCGCTCGGAAAGGATTGTTGCGGCTTACTATTGCCGAAGTACATAAATTGCTCGAGGACATATCCTTTGTCCTGTCCGGGTTGTAAGGCGATTATTTTGCCAAGGCTTAACCACAAATTGTTCAATTACTCTGAACGATACTGCTCTTAGATAATTCAGTAAATCGTTGTCTATTTCCGATTGACTTTTCTGGCCGTGCCGTGGGTTTATTCTGATGTCTGGCGCTACATTGCTGACGCTTCCGTTGATGATACAGGACCAATCCAAGCAGATGGTGCCAGTGACGAACCTTACGATGCTGAATGGGCCGAAACACGAGGAATCCACAGGTGGGTACATGCCGTCACTGAATATGTTAAAGGCTTGCTTCTTCAGTCCTGTTCAACATGTTCAACTCATTTGTCATGAACGTTGACCGGATTAACCCTATTAGTGGCAGGGGGGGGGGGGGTTGTTTTCATCCACCCCTCAGGTTTTTCGGGAATATCTCCGAAACCGCTGAAGCTACGATGCTGAAATTTTCTGACTTTTCCTAAAACTAAATTGGGCACTGAATACCTTTTTTACAAAGCTATTGATATGAGCTTTGAGCATCACCTAATCAATCACGATTTTTTTTTAACTTTGAAATAATTTAACGACACAAACAACTAAACGCAAACAAGTGAGCATAATTCCACGTTCCAATAATCACATGAAACTCTTATTTTAGTTTTCCTCCCCCATTCTGGCTCCAAGCTTGTGGAACGACTTTGCACGGCCCCGTCGTTTGACGTCTAACGCGACTCTCATACAATTTTAGCATTGTTTTCTCACTTACCTCTGCGTGCTGGAACGTTTCACCGCGGCTCTGTGGCAGTTCAGAGCTCCTCTTCACTGTGCAGACGGCCGGTGGGTCCTTATCTGGCGAACTGTCTCTGCGGAAGCGCTGGCAGACCCAGGTTCCGAACCATGACCCACGTCGCCGCTAAGTGTCTCTCAGTATGTTCGAAGTGGGCGCCACTGGAGCTGTGTCGTCCGCGCGTCGCCCCCTGCCACTGCAGTCTCAAAGCGAGCCGCGGCCGTTATCAGACCGGTGCCGCATTTTAGTTGCGCCGGATCGATCGCAGCAATAATTAAGATGATTCGGCCATTAAATTTTGTGGGGAAGTAATGAGTGGCGCAACTAGCCACCGCTTTGCCTGGGAATTGGTAATTTTGTATGACTGTTGCGATACCGCTTATCATGATGCATGCATTATAAACGGCGATATTCTTATCATTGCGGCGTGCCATGACTGATATCGAACGCTCAGCATCCATAAAGGGTAATACTATGATGAAACGGTATTTCGACCAGGCTTTCGATGCCCGATCGTAAAACATTGACGACTTCCTTTGATCCTAGAATGTCCCATAGCTAACTGACCTGAATTTCCGGCTCATAGTCGACGAAAAAATTATGCGTGCTATTAGTAGTTGCACGAACGCATACAAAGCGAGTTTACTCTGACGATATCTCTCATCGGAAAGCCCTGTTACGTGGCACACTGTCACGATAAATGCCGATTTAACGGGAAGTAGAGGAGTCACTTTAATTACCAAGAAAAGTGGGGCTGGCAAATGCGCTCGTAACAGTTAACTGCATACATTGCGTAACTGTGTGCACCAGAAACTGGGTTTTATTTTATTATTACATAGCTCTGACTGCAATAGCGAAACAAAATGATAAAATACGTTCAACTGTTAGAATTCAACTGAAGAACTATTAGAGCAATGCGGGGAATAATGCAGCCAAGTCTTTTTTACTTTCAGCGACCACTGCTTAGTGCTTATCTCATTGTACTGTTATAACAGCTCTGATGATGCAGCTAATATGTGTTTGACGTCTCTGCTTTCAGACAGCTCGGAGTTTCTGCGCATTTTCGTGCCCCTGTATATGGCGATCTCGCTGTCTCAATTTATCACCTACCTGTTGACTTTGATCGTCGGAGAAAAGGAGGCCAAGATCAAGGACGGTCTGAAGCTGATGGGTCTCCGAGATTCAGTCTATTGGTGAGACACGCGGGATGTAATCCCAGTGCGAAAGTGGACAGGAATACCTGAAAGTAACAGTAGTTGAGAGGTCATGTTTTATGATATATGTCAGCTGTCCGCTGATGAGTGAAAGCTACTCCATGCATACTGCATGGCGAGCTGATAGGCGCCGTTACATAAGTATTTCCTTGCCTGGAAATGCAGTGATTTGTTCATATTTTTTTTAGTTGTGATTCATTTTTTCAAACGTTTTTGATTATTTCATTGCTGAACATTGTCCACTGAATGTGAAAATTCCCAAAAGTGATGTCCATATTAAAAAGACATTGAATCATGTTCGTTGTGTTAGCCGTTAGGAGACGTATGGGCTTTGCAGAAACTGTTATTGCTGTTATGAAGTAATATGATTGCCAAGTATGTTTCTGTTTAAAGTTAGCTAAAAGCCTGCTCCATCTTTGAGTGCCCAAACGAGCCCCTGTGTGACAGCTCCACCCACCCTGCCCGTCAGGTTCTCCTGGTTCGTGGTGTACGCCGTATATGTGTTCGTCGTGGCCAGCATCTGCATTGCCATAATGGTGCTGAGCAACGTGTTCCCCTACTCAAACAACGCCTACATCTACCTGGTCTACGTGCTGTACGGCTGGTCGCTCGTCATGTTCGGCTTCATGCTCACTCCGTTCTTCACCAAGGCCAAGGTGTGGGCTGGGCTGGGAATTCTCAGACCGTTACCAGATAAGCGTTACAAGGTGTCTACATTGTGTTTGAGGTTTGTGTACCTTGTTTTGCAACATACTATCGACACCGTTTTTATAGGTTTTCCTCTTACGATCTGTTTAGTTGTTTTAGGAGTGAATTTCATTCCAAAATGACATATATCCATGCTTGGCTGTCATCCTTCACCACTCGCTGGTCCTTATCACCTCGCTGCCAGCAGCTGTGTCCTTCGTCTAATAGGTAGCGAGCGGGGCGAGTAATCTCGTGCCCCCCATGACCATGCTCCGCTCAGGCAACCGACGCTCTAGGTAACCTGCCATGACCTTGTGACCTACGCCCTTAGATAACCGGCGGTTTAGGTAACTTGGCCATGACCTTGTGACCTACGCCCTTAGATAACCGGCGGCTTAGGTAATTTGGCCATGACCTTGTGACCTCTGCCCTTAGATAACCGGTGGTGTAGGTAACCATTCGTGACCTCTTGACCTCCGCCCTTAGATAACCGGCGATGTGGGTAACCTGTCGTGACCTCGTGACCTTCGTCATGGGATAACCGGCGGCTTAGGTAACCTTTCGTGACCTCGTGACCTCCGTGTTCTCAGGTGGCCGGCGGTGTGGGTAACCTGGCCGTGACCGTGGTCTCGCTGCTGTTCCTGCTCCAAGTCTACCTGGAAGGAATGCCTCACGGCGTGTACTGGCTCATGTCTCTCATCAGTCCGGTGGCCTTTACACTGGGCATTGATAGGGTGAGAAACTGGGGCGTATATGACTGTGGTGTATGTGAGGTGGCTGCTGCAGTGGGTGTGAGGGTTTTAGGGGAGTAATATAAGGAGGATGGTCGGAGGGGGACGAACGCAGTGGGGATATGCGACTGCTAGAAGATAAATGGCACGCCATCGGCACATCCTATGATTCGCTGTTATCTGTTGTTTATTTTTAATTCGTTGGATAGCTAACCTTTCACTTTCTCCTTGTCTAGGATGTACTTTTTGTGTAATCTTTCTCAAAGGTGCACCCGATCCGGTAAAAACAAATCCGCCAGCCTCGCCGCGCGGTCAATCAGCCAACAACATAAATCCGCCCACGGCACTATTCCGCCCACATTTCTCTAACCGGAGCCATCGCGCCCCCAGGCGGTGGACTTTGACAATCGGAAGATCGGCCTGCACAGCTTCAACATGTGGGACGACAGCGGCGGGCTGCCGTTCGGCGGCTGCATCGTCATGTTGTGCGTGGACATTGTGCTCTACGCCTTCCTGGCCTTCTACTTGGACAACGTCCTGCCCAGTGAGTGGAGTTGGTGATGTAGGAGTGGAGTTAGCGCTGTAGTGAGTAGAGTTAGCGTTATGATGGGTGATATCCTATCCGTACGCTGCCTTGGAGGATCTTGTAAAGAACATTTCAGATAGATGAATTAAGTCAAAAAGTGGACTTTCTTGTCTTGATTACAGTGCTCCAAGGTTCATTTTGATGACTCATTGTGATTAAGGAGGACAATTGTTAATTGACTCGAAGTGGTAATGTTTATACATGTGCCATTTTTCTGTTCTATTTTTCAGATGAATACGGCCGTCGGGAGTCGGTGTTTTTCATTTTCAAGAAGTCTTACTGGTTCGGTTCGAACAAATCACTGGTAAGCTGATCACTGGTAGCCAACAAGCTATATTAGGATAAGTGCATGAGCGTACCAGGGCCTCGTTTCATAAAAGGAATTACTTACGGCGTTCCGTCAATTATGCCAGGGCCCTGTTCAAGTGTCTGCGGCCGCCGCGGCTCCCGCGGCCAAAAAGGCGGAGCTTAGCTGGCGGCCAATCAGGCGAGAGCAGCATTCTGGGTAATGCGTAGCTCTTCCTGCGGCTCCCGCGGTCGCTCGGGAGCGACCGCAAGGAAACTTCGACATAAACTGCGCGCGTGAGACAAAACATTGCGGATTTCGCTCTTTGTTTCCGTTGATTTTATTATGTTGTTAAGGAATAATCGCTACAACAAGGTACTAATTGAAGTAATAAAGCCATTATAAATCCATTACACACAAGATTTTAATCAGTATCTCCTTTCAAAACAACCGTGCCATTCTCGTCGCCGGCCGCAGCGGCCGCAGCCGCGAGGGTGTTCAACCTAACCGAAATTAGGCTCCGCCTCCCGGCCGCGGGAGCCGCGGCGGCCGCAGAGCACTTGAACAGGGCCCAGATTTGGCGTATTTGATGCCAATTCGGTTTCATAAAGCCGGAGACCGGAGTAATTCACGCCATCGAAAGTACGGAGCTTCATTTACGGCAAATGCTCGATTCCGGACCAATTGATGCCGTTTGGGTTTCATAAAACGACGTAATCAACGCCAAATATTTTATCAAGCTCTTGATATCAGTGGTGTAAACTACGCACAAAAATGTTGCGTGATTTTGAATTAATGTGAAGATTCGAAGCTAATTTTTAATATATTTTATAATGTTGAGCCCGGTGAGGAAGAAAGAAAAGCCAAAATGAGAAAAAGAAACTGCAAATCTTCTGTACCAGTCGCTTTTTGTGGCCACTATCGGAATTTTGTTTATTCGCCGCGCCGCGCCACTTTCGTAGTCAGGCACTTCTGCTTAGCTGGCTTTCTGCTGTTTTTAATATATTGTTTTAATAAAGGATGGTCATCAATATCAATTTTGTTTTTTCATACATAATTTTTAAGATTTAAATTCAACATAATTGTTTTATAAATTCTCGTAAAAAAATAAGTGTTGACATGAAATTGTAATTTGTAGGACGCTTGATAAATTACGGTAACTACGCAAATGTGCTTAGTTACGGAGGTGTAAACAATTCCAGTTGTGGCTTTGTGAAACGGATTTATTTGCGCTCCGTAGTTTGAAAGGGTGTGAATTACGGAAAGGTGTAAGTTACGGCAGAGTTTTATGAAACGAGGCCCTGGACGTTTTTGATGAAGTTTTCTTCTTCATTTTGTTTTTCACTATCTTTAAGCGTGTTTTTTTACCTTTTTTTACTTTCATGACCCACGTGACCCACCCCTGACCTATCTAAAACACTCATAACCCCTTGACATCAGTGACCCACCTTGACCTCTCTGACCCTCCTCTGACCTCTCTGCCCTGCCCTTGACCTCCTTTACCCCTCTCTTTGACCTCCGTGACCCCGCCTGGTCGCCCTCAGCTGCTGGCTGACATGGACGGCGACCACGCGGCGCTGGACGGTCAGGACTCGAGTCCCGACGTCGAGCCCGTCTCCGGAGAGGTGAAGCAGAAGCTGGCGCTGCGAGTGTTCGGCCTGCGGAAGGAGTTCACCAACAACAAGAAGAAGGTGGTGGCCGTGAATGGTGAGTGAGGGGAGTGTGATTGGTGACTGAGGCGAGGAAGGATGATGGTAGGGAAGCGGAGGGTATGTTTGATTGATGTGGGCTGCAACAAGTTTGGGGTGGAATCTCACTGGCTTTCAAACTGGAAAAAGTTTATTTGACGAACGTTTTTGTTTCGTGTCACGAGTGACTATTGTGTGTATGTCTTTGTGTTCTTAATGACGCCATAGTATACGGTTTGTGAATGAGAATAAGCTCCTTCCTTGAAATATATGGCTGTAAACAAAATTACGATAATATAGGTTGCTAATTGCTTTGCGAGCACATTTAAATGCGACGCGTAATATTCCAATGGGAGGAAACATTAAGCAAATAAGCATCCGTTTCATTGCCTTTATCGACGCGGTCATGGTCTTATCTTCCCTCGCCTATGTTCAACCTACTCTCCCTCATAATTCAACTGATAAATCCCGCCTTTACCGCAGACCTGAGCCTGGACATGTACGAAGGACAGATCACCGCCATCTTGGGGCACAACGGGGCCGGCAAGACAACATTCTTCAACATGTTGACCGGCCTGACGACGCCCACCAGCGGCACGGCTTCCATCTATGGACTGGACATCACGTCAGTGGCTCGGGGGAGGGGCGGGGTCACTAAACAATCACTGAGGGGCGGGGAGGGGGGGGGGTATAGTGTGACTGGTGTGGTGGAAGAGACATGAGATTAGCTGCAATAATTGACGCAAGTGTATCTTAGTCTTTTTGACTTGACTTAATATGAATGTTTGTTTTATTTTGTGTTTGGGAAAATAATGGTAAATTAATCGCACGCTAGCTGTTATGTTAATTTGTTTGTCGCTTATTTAGTGCAAAGTATGCTCATTCATCGCATGCTTATCCGAGCAGCTTCCAACAGGAGGCCTCAGAGCTGTGTGTCACCGCCTGACCTTTGACCCCGCCTCTGTTGACAGTGACCCGGGTGACCTCCGCGACCTGTGGGGGATGATCGGCCTCTGCCCTCAGCACGACATTCTGCTGGATGACCTGACTCCGCGGGAACACCTCGGGTTTATCGCCACACTCAGGGTGAGAGGAGCGTAACTGGGCCTGAAGGACCACTCGCGGCGCGTGCTCGCAGGCTGGGTCCTTTCGTTAATATATGCCACATGATTATTGGCTCCATGCTATATATGTATAGTCAGCATCAGGGGTGGAGAAATATGCCGAGTTAGGGTTGCACGGGCGCGGTAAATCCGCCGCCGCTCTGGCGGTGACCTTGACCTCCGCCGTCTGGTGCGGCTCCAAAGCCAAGCCGGCCCAGCCGGCGTGGAATTGGGAAGACTCGTGCTACCCCAACTCGGCACAATTGTCCACCCCTGGTCAGCATCATATTTAGTGGTATCTCTCCATAGCTCCCTCTCTTTATAGTCCTCTTTCCCTCCCTCTCTCCCTTCCCTCTGCTAGTATCTCAATCCTTTTCGTCTCTATCCCATGTCCCCTTCAGTCTCTTGCCTTGCTTTTTACACATGTAATTCAACTGTTTTCGTTTGTACATGCGCAAGTGTTTGCATATAGGTGGGTGTAACAACAACCTCATACACCAGTCGCAGAAACCAGAGTAGACCTTGACACACCTCTGTAAAAACGCCCTCAAGGACGTGTGATAGCACTATCTTCACAAGCGTGGAGCAGCTGCTGTGCTCACAATCTTGAATCGGACCGTAAGTTTTGTTATGCTTGAAGCCTTAGATAAAACCGATAAAAGACTAAGTGATCTGACCGTTGACCTGACGCGTGTCTGACCTTCGCCCAACCCGTAAACCTGTGACTTGCAGAATGCAGGTGTCATGCGACTTTTCATGACACTTGGTCTTAGCAAAACCCGTGATCCTACATATAACTGTCATGTGGTTTAGGCAATTATGTAAGTAAGTTTACTTACTTTGACCTTACCCATGGCTCAACCGCGACCTACCACTTGTTCTCCTTCTCACCATTGACCTGACCTGTGACCTCTCCTCAGGGTATCCCACCGGAGCGTGTTCAGGCTGAGATAAACTCGACTCTGGCCGACGTTGACCTCCTAGAGAAGGCTGACGAGGTGGTGCGAGGCCTGTCCGGCGGCCAGAAACGCAAACTCTCCGTTGGTGAGTGGGCTGAATAGAAGCGTGGCAGGTGTGGGAAGGAAGAGTGTCGACAGTAGGGGCTGGCCTGCTACAGGCTTAGGGCAGATTTGCGCATGTTATGCACTATGCAGTTGAAGGTGAGCCATGGCTAGTTTGAGCATGCAGTTTTTAAATAAAATTTGCATAGGTACCTATATTTAACTTTATGGATTGTACTATCGATCGTTTGGTATGACCCTGAAACAATGCCGCCACTCGTGTTTTTGACAAACTAACATGTGTCTCCTATCAGACCACGCAATATTGTACGAACTCTGACACTCTTGCTCTCAGACACTCTGACTGTGCTTTCACGTAACATAACACATTTACAACATCCATCTCCCAGCTGCCAACTCCTTACTCACCCTCTGGCCACCCCACTCCCCAGGTCAAGCGCTGGTGGGTGACCCCCGCATCATCATCCTGGACGAGCCGACGGCCGGCGTCGATCCGTACTCGCGGCGCCACCTCTGGAGTCTGCTGCAGCGACGCAAACACGGCCGCCTGATGCTGCTCACCACCCACTTCATGGACGAAGCCGACATCCTGGCCGATCGGAAGGCGATCGTTTCGGCCGGCAAACTGCGCTGCTGCGGCTCGTCCATGTTCCTGAAGAATCGCTTCGGACTCGGCTATCACCTCACGTGAGCGCCGAATGGGAGATGCGAGGCTTAGATTGAGGGCAGAAGGCAGAGATGATGAGAGATGTTGCATGGTGGGCGCTCATGCTAGCATAATTAGGTAATTAGTTAATTAGGCGTTGGGTGGCTTGTGCATGTTCCGGTAGAAGTATCTGTTGGTAGTTATGTGTCGGATTATTTGCCATGGCTATATCAGAGCCCTCTTGGGCCTCGGTTGCATCCGCTTCCATCCTTTTTATTAGCATGTGTGTTACGTGTTGTCAGTCGATAAACAAACTCACGAATCTACCTCTGTCACATCTCTCCGGTTCCATTTCGCCTTTGACTAGATAAAGTAGCGTAGTACCACAACCAGCCACATCTGACTGCCATCCCCCTCTGTGTTTCAGCATCGTGCAGGGCTCCACGCCGTGTCTGGAGGCTGTGGACAAGATCATCGTGTCGTACATACCGACAAGGGAGCGAGGCAGGGCGCACGGCAACGAGCTCACATTCGTACTACCCATGGCGTCGGTCAGTACGGGGAATCTGACCGTAAACGGATTCGCTGCTGGGGATGTGGTAAATTATGGTGGAAAGCGTATTGTGCATCGCAGCATATTTTGGCTGACAATCGTCGTTTGTTTGAGAGCGTATTTGTCATTGATATCCGTCTTTTTTAGTAATCTATTCGTGTCATGCTATTCTCGACACCTTGCACAATGTACTTCAGATTGACCGTCCTTTCCGTCGTCCACCAACTAGCGCCCTGCTGGGTAACTTCTGTCCAATCACTGTGTGTGTTTCTAGGTGGGCCGGTTTCCGGAGCTGTTTGCTGAACTGGAGAAGCAGCAGGAGACGCTGGGAGTGCAGAGTTTTGGCGTCTCGCTCACCACACTGGAGGAGGTAAGCTGAGTATTCGTGAAAATACTTGACAATGCGCGCTTGGTTAAGGTGACACCCCTTTGTATTTGATTTTATTATATTCAACACAGTACAGGCTAAAGCTATTCCTAAAGATTTCTGATACGAAAAAAACGCCTTTAAGAGAAGGTTGTTTAGGTATGTTTTGTTATAAAGTGTGGCTTTTTTACCTTACGGGCGCTTCTCTAATTGTCTCATCACCCCAATATATTTCTTCCCTATCTCATGCATCACATCACCCTTGTACTCGTAAGCACAGCTGGTGATTTATTATTCCTGTCTGCCACTACAGGTATTCCTGCACCTGGCCGAGACGGAGGACCACTCGGCTGACTCCGAGCCTCTGTCGGCCGTCACCCGAACGGTGCTGAACCAGCGGGCCAGCCTGGGCAGCGCGGAGCACTCGCGGTCCTCGCAGCAGGCCGTCGGCCGTCCGCCCAGCCTGCCCTCGCCGGGAGGCGGCGGGGATGGCCCTGACTCCATCCCCCTCTCCGACGTGCCCCGGGCCGCGCACACCGCCGAGCCGCCGGCGGTGCCGCTGCAGCCGTCCTGGCAGCGCGCCATGGCCGCTCTGATCCGCATCCGAATTCTGTCCTTCATCCGCGTACCTGCCGCGATCTTCTTTATCCTGATCATGCCGGCGGCCATGATGATCGGGGGACTGATGATCAACCGCGGCTCGAGCGGCTCTAGTGGCGGCCCGGCGCAGGTGCCGCTCCATCCGACACTCTACCCCGGCTACTCCCTGCTCTACCACACGGAGTCGGGCGCTGCTCTGGACCCGGCGGTGCTGCGTGGATGGGGCCTGCCGGCGGACAGCTTCAACGGCTCATACCGGGCGCTGCTCAATAACTCCGTACTGGCCGGGCTGAATGTGACTAGTGCCGGTGAGGCGGCGGTGGTTCTGCATGATCAGGCCATCCACTCGCCGGCTGTCGTGCTGAACGCCATCAACAACGGAAGACTCAGGTGGGTGGGCGAAGGGTGTCCTGCTGGTTACTGGTCGGAAACTTTTAAGGATACCTGATTTCTGTCTAGGTACTTTGCTTTCATCAGGGCTTATGTGACCCTTGCTAGGTTTTGGAACCGACTAGCTAGCAGTGTAGATATGTTTATGGTTGTCTGGCATCTAAATAACATCATCACTCATTAGGCACTGCATTTCATTGAATGAAAACTTCATATGCCCTGATATTGAAACTACAGTTCAGTTACTTTCGATAGATGGCAGGGCGCTCCATTTTTGGCATCGTAAGGGCACCATGGTCCCTCAGTCTCAGGATGGCCATTTTTCGTTAGATTACTGACCACTACCAATGAACACCTCCATCTCTGACGGTCCCTCCGTCTCTATGCCTTCCAGTCAGCTGCTGCAGTCTGCGTTCAACTCCTCCGCGGCTCTGTCGGTGACCTCCCATCCTCTACCCAGCGGCGTGACGCTGGACTTTGACTCGAGCGTGTTCTTTTCGTCGTTCATGGTGGGCTTTCTGTTTCTGATGGTGCCCTGCAGTATCGCTGGAGAGCTGGTGCAGGAGAGAGAGGTGAGAAAGGAAGAGGGGAGGGGAGAGGATGGAGGGAGACAGGATAGGCTGAAGTGGATGAAATGAGGGGGAAAGGATTAATAGGTGATAATTTGGGAGAGATTAGGAAGATGACAGGAAATTAGGGGGAAAATGAGGAGTGCTAGAAAGGGAAAAGGAAGGGAGGTTGTAGAGAAAAGGGTAAGGGAAGGAGTGAAATATATGGAGAGGTGATGCTTCGAAAAGGAATAGATAAAGGTTGGGAAGACGTATGGAAGGAAAAAGATGAGGAAGGAGAAAAATTGAACCGAATGCGATGAATTAGGAAAGGGAGTAACTGAGGGGCAGATGAAATAAAGGCGAAGCAGCTAGTTGGGGAGGGGACGAGTGCGGATTAGTTTGGGTGGTTTATAATCTCACGATTCCTCATGCAGTCGATTTCTGTTGTCTGCTGTTTGACTGCAAGCTGTTGACACTTATTTCCCATTTCAGCTCAAGATCCGGAACCAGCTCCGAGTGAACGGCCTCAGCTTCACCACCTACTTCCTGTCGTTCTTCATCGTAGTCTTCGGCCTGTTCTTCGCCCTGTGGTATGTCAAGCGCTCAGTGATCCGGAAAAGGGACTGGGGCTTCTATTATATATTCCCTTATTGGCAACTGATTTACGTGTCTGCCTGTATGTTGTTGGCTCACGATTGACATCAATTTGAATTCCGTTTGGTGGCTAGGAACGATGTGTGTTCCTTTGATTAGCTCATTACAGATTTATGTATGAGCTGGATATTGGATTCGTCTAGTACTAAATAAGTTGTTGATGCTTATTTGCCTATTAATGTGTTACATATCTCATTAACTTATATGCCAGTAACGCTAATACAGGGTGTCCCAGAATTACCCGGACATTGTTAATTAGCGTATAAAATAAGGCAAACATGATTGCGCTTTTTTCTTTTTATCGTCCTATATAGTCAACTAGGGTGGCTGTGACATAGCACATGTAATAGATACGCTTGTTACAAGATCAGCCGACAATGATTGAAAATGCCAGCCATTGCTGGTCTCAGTTGTTTTACGGCTCTCCCGAAACTGGGTGAAGGCCTGTTTTCTTTGACCTGTTGCCGGAGGATAATACGATAATAGTACAATAACGTGACTTTGGAGGGCGATATGAGTTTTGAACGGCCCGACACCATTATCAGAAGCCCGACATGATGCTGAGCGGCCCGAGCGTAGCGAGGGACGCTAAGTATCATGAAGGGCTTCTGATAATGGTGAAGGGCCGTTCAAAACTCATATCGCCCGACAAAAGTCACGTTATTTGTATTATTGTCACTTATCTAGTTCATAATTAACCATTTTCTCAATAGCTTGCTGTAGTCGCTGTAGTCAAATCTTCTGGAGGTCGGTCAGCAAGTTCGTAGTGCGCGAGAATGTAAAATACTGTTATTGTTAAGCACGTGACTTTTCGGGAATTTAGGGCGAGCACTCACCACTAGAGTATATAAGGCAGGTCAGAGCGAACGGTGCATCATTTTCGGTTTAGCTTCTGAGGTAATAATAGCTCTGTCTCCTTTGCGCGTGGAAACGCCAGATGGATAGCGAAATAACGGAGCGTGAATTAATAGAGCTGGAAAGAAGTGTTGTACTTGACAACACATCGAAGGCCACTCAGTATGGGATGAAGAAATTTAATGAATGGCTTGCATTGAGAGACCGTGCATGCGATTTTGGAACAGTTACTCATGAAGAACTGTGTAGTTTACTAAGAAGGTTCTACGCTGAAGTGAAGGCGAAGAAAGCGGGGGAAACTCTAACGCCCAGTACACTGACCTGCATTCGTGCGGCCATCCATCGCTGCCTGACCAGCGCTCCACATAGCAGACCGATCAACATCATAACCGATAGAGAGTTTATTGCAGCAAACAACATTTTTGACGCTCGCTGCAAACTGTACGTAAAGGCAGGCAACCCCAAGCCTCAGCATAAGGCTGCTATCACAGAGGACGATATGAAGCGCTTGGGTGACTACCTCTCGGATTTCGCGTCAAATCCAACCATCCTCCTGCAGGCTACATGGTTCTATCTCTGCTTTTTCTTCGGGAGAAGAGGTCGAGAAGTTTGGGCTCAGATGAGGAAAGATCATTTCGTCGTCAGAGAAGACCCAGACGGAAAGGAATATGTCACTATTTCGAAAACTGAAGCAACAAAAAACCATCAGGGTGGAAGCAAGCAGGGAGATGTAGACTTTTCTGATCAGAGGATGTACGGGCCTGGTGTAGAAGTTTTCAAGATGTACCAGCAAAAGATCAATCATGATAGTGATAGGCTGTTCCAAACACCAAAGAGAGCATGGACGCAAGATGAATGTTGGTTCAGAAACGAAGCAATGGGGAAGAACAGCCTGTCAACAATCATGCAGAGGATAGCTGATAGCGCTAAGCTATCACAACGCTATACATGTCATAGCGTTCGTGCCACCACCGTCACGACATTGCATCAAGCTGGAGTGGCAGCTGAAGATATCGTTAAAGTAACAAAACACAAAAGGACCGCAAGCCTTTCACATTACATTGACGACATGACAGTTCCTCAAAAAAGGCGTTGCTCTGAGACATTGGCACAAACGATGACTAGGCAATCCGACACAGCCGCAAGTGTAGTCCCAGGGTGCAGCGCCACGGTGATACAGAACGGAGGGCCTGCTACCTCACGACGGTTGTGCGAAGAAAAGCCCAACTTTAATCTGACCATCGGTGGGATGGAAGTGGATGACTGGTTGAACATGAACGAACAGGAACATCGGGTGCCTGACCCATCGGAAGTACGTCAAAGCCAGCAACTGGTAACGGCGAGAACAGCTCTGTCGTCACTGCTCCCGAATGCAACGTTCAACGGGTCTTGCGTTATCAATGTGAACTTTCACGCGTAAGGATAGGTACGCCGTACGATTACATAGCTAAAACGCATCAAATGTGCAATCGGTCGTGCATCGGTCTATGACAAGTATTGTAAATAAAATATAAATCAACAACTGTTTGTACAGAACCGCCTACTTCTTTCAGTTGCAATAACCGCAATTTTCATTAAAATAATTTGTGGTATTCGTATGAGAATATATATTTGAACATATTTGAGCTGTCGGGCGCTAATGACCTGTCGGGCGGATAATGACCATTATTGGCCCGACAGCTTTAATTTTGAGGGCAATACAGAGTTTGAGCCGCCCTCCTAAATGACGGTAATCGCCTAGTGATCGGCCCGTGCAAGTGACAATAATATAAGATAAACTTAACATCAAAGTGTTCCCAGGTCATAAGGCATTATCCCCCAAAACAAAAATTGCTGCCTACACCACTTTTGTCGCGTTTTTTACATCTGAAGTGGAGAAGCTCCATGTCTGAACATGGCGGGACATTTGGCTTCCAACAGATTTGGTTTCCAAAACAAACCCGTTCATGGCCATTTGGTTTACGGCATCCAGTTTTTTTTTACTGGTAGAATATTACCGCAGTAGTACTCTGTGCTAACGGCTGTCGTTGGACCATCATATCAAGCCGAATGAGTGCACGGTGGCTCAAAATGTCTCACAATTTGATTTTCGACGGGTGCCTGGCCGTCTCTGCTGTTGGGGCGTTGCAGCCATCTGACGTTCACACACGCCTTTTTCGGGCGGTTCAAATGACAGAATACCTTCGTTAGACCACAAAGTGTGCTTCAATATAATTTTTTGTTGTATATGTTATATTTTGGGGATGAATTGTAGTGATTTTCGCTGCTTCTCCCGTAGTTTTCGCATATTTTTCAGGCGAGGGACCCCAAATTCCAAAATTTTGCGAAGATAGTGGTGGAAAGTAGACTGATGTTCTTTAGATAGTCCTGATCTATCGTTTAGCTAGTTTTTAGCTAGATCAGTGACGTTTGTTGTCCATGACAAGCAACCACCCGTTTGACAACTGGTGCATGACCCTTTTTGGCCGAGCCCAAGCTTGTCAATCAGGTTTATCTCTTGCTCTCTCTGGCTTCGTTAGCTGATATAATTGCGCTTTGCTCAATTCTAACTGCTTGCAGATGAGCTGCTGAAGCTCTCCAGCAAAAACCATGCCGAAAGTCCGTTTACGAAGTTGGAAACGGGAGTTGATTCACCATGGTTGCCTATAAGTGGCTTAAGCTGAAAACGGAAAAGGACTACTCTTACTTGACTCTGGATAATACTTGACTCGAGTCGTTACCGGTCACCAAAAGCACACAGTCCCCAAGCTCGATAGCTAAGGGATATCTTATAAAAGTATGATGCTTGTATATCATTAGAATCGAGCGCAATCGTACCTTTAGCCAGAAAATAAATGTCCGGGTAATTCTGGGACACCCTGTACATGTAGCAAGTAGGTACGTCGAATTCTTAGATTGATGAAAATGGTGAATGCGTTCACTACAGGTTAATTGAGCCCCAAGTGCACACTAATGACTCGAGCTGACCTCCCCTCGCCGGTCTGTTCTCCATCAGGGTCATCATGCTGATCGTGGTACAGGCTGCCGACGTCACCCTGCTGAAGCCCATGCCGGCCTTCTCCATGCTGGCTGTGCTCTATCTGGAGTACATCTTCGTCGGCTTGCTGTTCGCCAGCATCGTCTCCTACATGTTCGACAAGCTGGAGACCTCCATGTCCGTCTATCCCAACGTGGCCATCATGTGCGGCATGCTGCCCTACATGCTGGTCTCCCTGCTGGACTCACTGCTGCCCGACTCTGGTGTGGCCCTGCCGCTTCACTACGTGTTCTGCCTGATCGATCCGTTCTACATCCCATGTGGTGCGCTCTACTATCTGTCTAAGGTGGGTGCCCGGGCCGGGCTGGCCGTGTGGGTGTTCGTTGTGAATAGCGGTGTAGATGTCGCGGTTCTTGAAATATTTCGTGATGGCATCTATTTAGGTGAAAGCCGTGGTGGTTCTGCCTTAATTGTTAATTATGTGTTAAGTTGATTATTTATTTTACTGATGGGACCGAATGAGATGCCTGGAAACAACATTTACAATATGACCTTCTTCGCCAAATCATCATGTTCGCTGTTCGCTATACATAAATCCAGCAATTCCCAGCTGATAACAACCTTACATATGTGACGGCTCACGACCGTCACCCTTTTCAACTTCACCATCGCCTACCCACAGACGTACATCATGGTGAGACTCCTTGAGCAGCGAGACGTGGAGGCGGCCGACTACTGGGCGGCTCCCGAGTTTCTGGTGCCGCTACTGGTGCAGCTGGTGCAGATCCCGCTGCTCTGGCTGGTGCTGCGGCGCGTCGACGCCAAGAAGAACGCGCACAACGACCAGCCCGGCTGCCTGGCGCGCAGGGTACGTATCTGGCGAGCAGGGTATGTGATGTTGAGGGTGTGAGGCTCCGGGTGAGACTCGGGGGGGGGGGGGGGACGTTTAGTCTGGTAAGGAGCTGTTATGGGGTTATGTGGTCCTCAGTGCGAAAGGAAGGGCTCCTGGCTCCTGTTTTACAGTGAAAGTAGGAAAACCTCTAAGCCTTTTGGTATCTTAGTGCTTTGTGCATGTAGATAAGATATTTGTATGATGTGGCTTGAAGGAACTTTTGCTCTTTTGTAGATTTGCTCAGACTTCAATTCTCTTTATTGATAAGGTCACGTTGAATCCACCTTAAGAGCTAGTTAAACTATTAATCACAACGAAAACGATTTCAGTACCTCTACCCTCCGATTGAACAAGCACATTCACCTTGACATGGCTACTCACCTGCATTGTATGAAGTTATCACGGTTTTCATGGCGCTATCAGATCACCCTATCAACATTGCAGACTAGGTCGTGCCAGCCATTTGTATCCCAAAAGTGTCAGACACAATACAACTTGTTCTTCTTTCACTGTCACACCAAACTGACACGGTATCAACCCCTGGACACTAGGAGTCCGCGCTGTCGCTGCCACGTATCGTGAGCGAATTTCCGACCCGTTTCCTGCGTTAGGAAATATTGTCATGTGACTGTTGAAATGTGTCGATTTTCGTCGTGACGTCTGCCACTGAACGCAGCCAACAGATGTCGCCGACTTCTGACATGCTCTGGCAATACTCAGTTGTGCTTAGACATGAATTTATAGTTTTTCATTGCGGTCTGGTTTTCATACAGCTGCGCTTATGTGGTAGATAACCAAAGGAGAGTATTTCTATAGGGTCTCATGGCCTAAGCTGCAAAATATAAGCTACCTATCACCTCTTCATCGCAACACTCCACCCCTCACCTAACCCTGCTCGTCTACAGAAACACACCCGTGACGCAGCAGAGATGGAGGAGGGCCCTGCTGCGGACGGCGGAGAGCCCGATCAGGACGTACTGGCAGAACGGGAGCGGGTGGACCGCATCATGGACGGCTCCTGGACCGGCCCGGCGCCCGTCATTGCTGCTCAGGTGAGAGAGTGAGAGGGACTCAGGTGAGAAAGTGAGAGTGGCCCTGGTGAGAAAATCCGTCATAGCGACTCAGCTGGGGTCAGATAGAGAGACTCAAGTGAGACAGCTGCTCAATTGAGAGTCTGGTAGCGACTCTGGTGTGAGTGACTCAGGTTAGACTCAGAGGGAGGCTCCGGTAGGTTGTGACAGCTGGTCCCAGTAAAAAACGTCCCATTGGTTGTGTTTTGTCATGCTTGGATGTTCGTACAATCTATGACGTTGTGTTTATGAAGCATTATCATCTTCAAGCTGGGTCGTCAAAGAATTTCACCATATCGGAACGAATTTTACTGATTACTCGATATCTGCCACCAACATTTGGTCTCAGCTCTCTATGCGAATTTTACTGCGCTGCGATGAAAATGGGTGCTCCTTCCGTAATGTAAGCAGTCGTGTTGTTGACTGGTGAAAAGCATTGTGTGCTCTCCGAGGCTCGACCGAATATTTTTCTTTCGATTCCGTTGCGTGCGTTTGACATGTTATCTGTAGTGCCGCCAGCCACATGCCGTTCCTTCACAAAACAAGATGCAAAATCAATACCATTAACAACACATGCAATATCGTCAACTCCGAGTACTGATAACCCAAACGTCATCCCTCCCAGCTCGCTCCTCATAATTCCTCTCTTTTCACCGTCGTTCACCCAGTCTGAATACCGTCTCTCCCTGTCTTACAGAACCTATGTAAGCTGTACAGATCTCACGACAAGTCTGAGAAGTCTGCCGGCGGCGACGGCGTTCTGCAGGCGGTGGGCGACGTCAGTTTCGCCGTGAATGCCGGCGAGGTTTTCGGACTTTTGGGGCCGAACGGAGCGGGGAAGACGACCTGTATGAGGATGGTTATCGCCGAGGAGGCGCCCACACGCGGGAAGGTAAGGATTGTCTTCATAGTTGGGAAGGGAGCGATGGGGTTGAATGTTTGGTACCGGAAGGTACCAATAGTACCTAGCACTATTAGCACATATAGCAATAGCACATATATAGCACTTATAATATAGCATACATAATAGCATGTGGCAATAGCACATGCTCGCTTGATCGAACTTGCATCGTTACGTTCATCATGTAAAACAAATTCTGCTTCATTCGTAATACTTCCCCTAGCTCTGCTTTGTTCGTCACATATTACACTTCATCACACCCATTCATCGTTCTCTCGCCACTTATCCTGGCGCTCCAATCTCGTTATGCTAACATACTGTCCATATGCTAACATACGAACATAATTGGGCTGCCAAAGGCCCAACGAATCTCATATTGCGCTTTGTTAGATTGTGTAATCGCTTTACGTAATGACATTACACTATAGAAGATTGCCGTCAGTGCCACTCTACCAGAAGCGTATATATTTCTTATATAACCACAAGATACTCACTAGTGATTGACTGGAAATATTTTTCTACCGGCATTTATGTCATCACACAAGTCACGCAGGGACTTTTGATTGCATTTTCGGCGCAGACAGACGTGTCGCTGCACACTGTGAGCGGAGTCAGGCGTGGGAGGGGGATGTGTCGGACTGTCCGGCGCCGGCGTCTCTGTCCGCTGTGACAGGGCGTGACAGCCGCCCGGCCAATACGCTGTCGCCGCGACAGACGGAGGGTGTCGCGCGGTGACAGTCGGCGCCTCCCTGAGCGGCTCCCAGTCAGCTCGAACCGTTTGAGTGCCCGAACTTTGAAGCGCCGATGGCAGCGATGGGGCCTCGCTGGTGCGTCGTGACTTTGGGCTTGTCGCTGTCGACAGGTTTATGGGTGCAGTTTTTAAACTGGCAATGTATTCAGTGGTGCTGTATTTAAATGTAAACATAAAGTAACTCGAGACTCTGTAGGAAAGCCAGCGTCGAACCACTGCTGTATTCGTAGGTGGCTTCTTTTTGTCGACGCTCTATCTCACCAAAACATTTCAGTTATATTTCGCCGACCTTTCAGTGCGTCAGAAACAGCTGGCAAATTGAACAAAGTTTGAACTCAAGCCTTTCCTACTGATTTCGCCCTAAAAGTGTTTAAAGGCAGAGTGGTTTTGCTGTTTCACTGTTGGCCCAGGCGCGCTACCGAAATCCATTTGTATGATTGGCTTCTTGACCAAAACAACCCCTCCGACAGCCTAGCTTTGGATTGCCTCTTAACGCCGGACAAGTTTAATTCGCGAATGACATTACATGATCTGAACTGGTTTTATGTGGCCATTATTTCATAACGCCGCTGATGTACTCAATCACCGGTGGCCTGCTGGGGATCAGACGTACGAACAGCAGTCCCTACAGGGTGTCCCATAAGTTCGTTCTCACCTAAATTTTACGTTTTTAGGCTTTCTTGCTTAAAGGCACGCTGAAGTTGGTTCGTAACTGAGCTTACATGGTTGCCATGGCTGGTAGAAATATGCTCCACAGTAGCTAATTTCTGTAGACAAAATAGTTTTTGCTAGAGAGCCCGCTTCCTACAGAGACGGCTAACGCCGCAACATAGAGGTCTCCGATACGGGTACGTCTCAGTATTTAGTCAGCACGTGACCATTCGCGACGATTGAGGGTGATTGAGGCCTACCAGTCTGTAGCCAATATCCATCGCTAACTGGACGCACAGTCAGCAAGTGACGCCGATGATTTGTTGGGAGTCAATAACTGCAAGTTTATCCTCTTTCTAGCCAGCCCTCAGGAATGAGCCAAGTGGCCAAAACTGTGTGGCGCCAAAGTGGCCATCAAAAAGGTCAAAGGGTTAGAAAGTTGGTAAACAGACTTTTCTGGATGGATTACCAGCTGTCTAAGAGTGTTCTTTCGGGGTACATAACTCAAGGTGACTTAAGCTTTGCTTACCGGAGGGCTCAAAACAGTCAAAAACGTCTTAAAATGGCCAAACATGAGTTTCGTTATGCCTGAGGCTAAACAAAACTAGAGGGCTGATGACATCAACCAGGTCATCTGGACTAACTAGTCCACGTTCGAGATGAAACACCCGTCCAAACCCGAAAACAACCCCATAAGGGCGAAGGAGGAGGCCTTCATTTCGTCCCGTTATGTTCCTATGCAAAAGGCCAGGGTCACTGTGTTGTGGGGTTATAGGCGTTCTGGAGTTGATCAAGTTACAAGTGGCAACCCGGAAACAGTTTTGGGAAGCAGAATGCTTTTCCAAGAACATCTAGGAGGAATTTCAGCCCTCAAGCTGAACTCGAACCGCGAATATGAACACATTTATAGAGGAGAAAATGGCATCCGGGAGGTCGTAGGCCCATCTTCAGGCAAGGCAGTGCATCAGTGCACAGGTCAAGCAAAGCTTAAAAGCGGTGCAAGGAGACTGTGACAGGCGTTTGTGGCAAGATCACATGCCAGGCACCTCATCGGATCAAAATTTCATAAAAATTTGTTGGTTATGCTGAAGTTGAGGCTCGTTGAAGCGTAGCGCTGTTCCAGCCTCGAGGAGCTCACGGCGCATGTCAAGTCAGTCTGGGTTAACTTTAAGCCTGCTATGCAGCAAAACATGCCAGTTGGCATGCCGCAGCATGTATTCATGTGTTTGCCTATTAAATGGGGAGCACATTGAGGGGTCATAAATATACCAAAACGCAATGTACTCTGTTTCACATGCAAACATAATGTGAGAACGAACTTATGGGACACCCTGTAGACGACGATTTACTACACGACGAGCTCTGGAAAGTTCGCAGAGTTCGACGTTTGTTTTCTTCAGCTGATTGCTAATCCCATCACATTGCAATACAGTAACCCTTCTTCTCTACTGCGCCCATCTCATCCACAGTGTGACCCGTCTCCCTCCCCCCCCCCTGTGTCCCATCTTTCCACTAACCCACCCCTCCACCCACTCCCCACAGATCCAGGTAGCCGGCACGCCCATCACCAACAGCCTCTACCAGGCAACCCCACTTATAAACCCTCTCCCCCACTACTGTAACCCCTCTCCTGCACTGTGACCCCCACTGTAACCCTCCCCCCTCCCACAGATTCAGGTGGCCGGTACGCCCATCACGGACAGTCTCTCCGAGGCGTTCCAGATGGTCGGCTACTGTCCCCAGTTTGACGCCCTCTGGAAGTACATCACCGTCGAGGAGCACCTCAAATGTTTTGCGCAGATTCGCGGCGTCTCCCCGCAGGACGTGAGTTGTTGGGCGATCGGCGAAGGTGGAGCCGGGTATACATTGATATTGCCAGTTATGTGTACGTGAGTGAGTGAGTAAGTGAGTGAGTGAGTGAGTGAGTGAGTGAGTGAGTAAGTGAGTGAGTGAGTGAGTGAGTGAGCTGTTTTATCTGTTTTTGTGTAAAATGTGAGACCACTATTCCTTATGGCTCAATGATTGAAAATCAGCTTTCTGTCTTGTTTTCGTTGATATGTGCCTCGGTTATTTTGATGTGGTCGAGAGTGCTAGCCATTCGTTATCTATTGGCAATTTAACCTGAATCCCAGCAGCATCTGACTTTCTAGTTTCGTCTGACGACCTCTTTTGTCATTTCCATAACTTTTCGATGCAGCGATCTTTCGCGTATCTTGTTTTCGATCACACGCTGGCTTTCGCTGAGCTCCGATGGCATGTTTTCGTCACTTCCTGCTGTTTGAAACGGGGATGCGACCTTTCATATTATCCACCGAGTCTGGTCTGATGCCAAGATATGTCGATTGTCTACCTGGTTTGCTATTTACCCTTTCGCTATATTTTCCCATCCCGCTACATAACTGCTCACTTTCCCTGTATCTTAACTCTAATTCCCTGTACTTTGTGTATTATCCCATCTCGTCTCATTTAACCGTCTCCACCCTTCCCCGTGTTCCAGTCCCAGCGTATCGCCAACCACTACATCGAAGGCCTCCAGATCGCCGAGCACTCCAAGAAACGCAGCCACGTCTGCTCGGGTGGTACACGTCGCAAACTCAGCTACGCGCTCAGCATGCTGGGAGAGCCCCGCATCGTCCTACTAGACGAGCCCTCCACTGGTATGGACCCGCAGTCGAAGCGCTTCCTCTGGGATACGATCGCGGCCGGGTTCCGCGCGGAGCGAGGCGCCATACTGACGACACACTCCATGGAGGAGGCGGACGCACTCTGCACACGGCTGGGGATCATGGTTCGCGGCAACCTCAGGTGAGGAGAACAGTGGGGGAGGAGGGAGGGAGGGGGATGGGGGCGGAAGGGGACAGTGAATGAGTGAAAGATGGAGTGTAGATATCTGAGATGAGAAGTGTTAAAGGTACCTAGCTGTAAAGGATGGAGTAGTAAAAGAAGATACGGTAAGCTGTTTAGTATTAAATTGAGACCATTACGTCTTTTCCATCATAGTGAGTCGTGATAGCAAATCCTTCTCCTCCACGCCTCAACTCCCTGTTCTGGGCTGGACGGGCAACTTTATCCCATGCGGGGAGCGGGAAGCTCCCATAGGAGCACCCCGTAGTGTCACACCTTCCGGCCGGGAAGGTGTGCAGCAGCACCCGGGCCGAACTCGTGGCCATCCGCGAGGCGCTGGCCGAGGCCGCGGGCGATCTGCCTGACCGGCCGAGCATGCTCCTCCTCTGCTGCGACTCGCGCGCAGCCATCCAGTCGCTGCAAGACACGGCGGACTCCCAGTCGGCACTGGTAGCGGAGATCAGGGACCTGATCAGGCACCATCACTCGTTCAGGCCACAGGCTCCACTTGCAGTGGGTGCCCGGCCACGCGGGCCTGCCGGAGAACGAGGAGGCGGACCGTCTGGCAGCGATCGGGAGCTCGCGCAGACAGAACCAGATCCCCGTGGACCTGTGGTCGGCGAGAGCCGCGGTGGCCCGCCGGGCGCGGGCGATGTGTGATGCGCGCGCCAGACGCAGCCACCCGCACCCCGACCCGACGCCCGGGCACGACGGACTGGACCGCCGAGCGTCGGTGACCGTGGCGCAGCTCCGGGTGGGATGTTCGCCTCTGACAGGAGACACCCGGCACCGACTCGGGCTGGCCGAGTCCGACGCGTGCGTCGACTGCGGCGAGCCGGACTCGGTCCCGCACCTGCTGATGGACTGCCCCGCACACCAGGGGCCTCGGACCCGCCGGTGGGGCCCCCTGCCGACGCTGGGGGAGATATTCTCCACCGATGCTGACCTCATCGTAGACTTCCTGGTGGAGACGGGCCGGGTCCCACGGGACCCGGCCTAAGCTGGTAAGGAAGAAGAAGGAAGAAGAAGAAGCACCCCGTAGCCGGTTGCAGTCGGTACTAGTAGGCTGGGTGGCCTGTCCAACTGGATGGGCTCAGGCCAGGTGACTCACTAGTCACTAGGGTACTTGCCCAAACCACTGTCCTCCCTAATTCCTACCAACCTCCCGGCTCTGAAATGGTTTCGTCAGACCGAAAGGACCTAATCCAGCAAAACAAACAATCAAACGAGCAAACAAACAAGTACTAAATTGAAATGAATGCTGATTGCTGATGTGCTAGTCAGGCTTATAACCAAGTATATCGCGAAAATTCAACGCCACAATAATTTATGGTGTGGTTTATGTGAGGAATTCTCGAATATAGGATTTTTTTATGGTGTCTGACTGCATAGTAAAACTCATTGTCTGAGCAGGAAGGACAATTAGCTATCAATCACCATCTTTCGGCCCCAGGCCTATTTCTGGCAATCTGACACCAAATTGTTCCGGTCGACGCCAGCTGACAGATGCGGAATGCTGTTTTTACGATGGGCCTCAGTGGCAGTTCGTAGAACGTCAGTGACTCACTTCACGACGAGGAGGGAGATTTCGAGGAGAGGACTCACTTCTGATGTTCACATGGCTAAACAGAACACAGGCTTCGAGTTTATACTCGTAGAAAACTAAAAACTTTACCAGCAACGATCGAAATTTTCTCAACTTGGATGGTGGTTCTTAAATGTGGTCAAGTTGTGGATTCGTTTTAGTAGGTCAAGTCAATCGAGGCGACCTCGAGGTCGGCGATTTCGGTAGATTGCCAATTCTTTCTTCCGAGGCCGCTGACAAAGCGGCGCATTGGGCTCGCAATATGTGAGACGCGTGCGCGACTCGGTTTCGACCAGTTTGATACATGGGATATCCGACAGCGCCTTAGCCGATCCCCCGATGGTAAAGTTCTAGCCTCATTTTACGGTATCGGCGACTTGAGTGATTTGTTCATCGTGCTAGTTTCGTCGAGAGCGTGCAGTGGTTAGATTAGAGAAGCGTTGGTTTGAGGACGAATCCGGCGACTGCAAGCGTTTGCGATGCAAAGTAATTCACTATCTGATGCTCGATCGCTGCGACATTGTGCTGGCAGCAAGGAACTATTTCTTCTGTATAAGCTTGGTGAGCCGTAACTGCTGGCGCCTGCACGGGTATCTATATCGTCTCTCTCCATCACCCGATTCTACTAACGCAGCACTATCTTCCGAGATCTCCGCGTTGGTTACACGATGTAACCATTCCTCGCCTGACTGGCCGGCCGGGTGGGAAGACGTCGCCCTCTCCCTACCCCTCTCCCGACCTCGTGTATGCCGCGTCTTCCCCATCGATCCTCCTCTCGGGTTACCGGACTGTGACCCGATTCTGCCGCGACACCGCGTCGGAGGAAAAAAAACACGAGATGTTGGAAATCGGGAACGATTAATCAGAGACCCTTGGGTTTCGGAGATATGTGTGCCTACTCAAATACGCTTATACTCAGCACGTGTTACTGAGTACGCGCGAACGAGCGTCTTCTATCCTATCTTTGGTGAAATACCAAATATTCATATAAACCAGCGCCAAGTTGTTGATTTCTCTTGGTTCGACCGGCGGCCGCAGTGCTGTGATGCGGAAGGGGCGACGGTCGCTGCCGGTCGGGATCCCTGGGGTGGGGCGATACGTGACCTGGTCTGCCGCGCGTGATCCGGGTCAACTGGGTTCGCCGGAGATTCGCCCTCTCCCCCCTCCTGGTCCGCCGGAGATTCGCCCCTTCCCCCGCCTCTGATCCACCCCGGAGATTCGCTTGTACCGGCCCCAGTTCAAGGGAGATTCTTCGCTAAGCGACCCCCTCCCTCCGTTTCCTGGCCTTCAAGAACATCCAGTGTCCGCTGTCCATCCACAGAATACCCAGTCGTTTCTCCGCGGCAGGTACTATTCTTACTCTGCTGCCTGGTGCAGAAATTGTTCACAGTATCCACTGTTTGGTGTCCACCTCAGTCGCTTCTCCGCGGCGGGTACTATTCTTACTTTGATGTCTATTACAGAAATTGGACGGTTACATAACCGTACAGTTCAGGAAACCTGCTGCCTCGAGATAGTTGCTTTACTGCCTCGTCGATAGCCTGTGTACGGTGGCGAGGTAATTGATTTTGTCATGAACTGTCGCCAGCAGCAAGAAGTGTCCCGGAACTGTTGGGTTGCAATTCTGGTTAAGACCTTGCTAGCTTCACAACCAATCAACTGTCTTGAAGGATATGGTTTGCTCCGAAATGAAATCGAACTGTTATCGCATCCTGCGAGTGCCGAGTAGTAATTACGCATGACGGATAATATATAGTTTGTCGTTTAATTCTGTGCCGACACTGAAAAGTCGGCGATTTGTTGCCATTACTGGCGAATACGCATTGCAAACATGGATATTGCGGTGCAATTTTATTTGTACTTACTGTTGCCATCACAATCTGGTATTCTCCGTATTCTCTATCACTACGTTTCCATGACACGTCTAAATCAATCAATCAATCAATCAATGTATTAAGCATCGACAAGCGACAATGCATGCAGAGAACATCCCACAATACCCACAATCAACAAACAAGTAGTCTCAACAGACGCCTTGAGGCTTGGCAGTTTCCAGCTAACACTAGCCGTATGCTGTCAACATCGATTTAGCGAAATTACACGTGCGTTTTTCTCGGAAACTATTTACCTTATGCAAAAAAATGAGCGTAGATATGGTTTTAACTAGCATCTAATCCTATATGTACATTTTTAAATTATGCTTAAATGCTGTAATGGAGCAAATCCATTTTTCAAAATCGGCTTAGATTGTGTCATGGAAACGTAGCATATATTTCAGGCGTCCTTTTGTTCGTCGTGCCCAGCTGTTCGTGTGTATAGGTAATTTGTTTCGTGGCCGCTTGTTTGTTTCTTCAGTCGTTCGTTCGCCCGTACTCTCCCTCGTTCAAAGCTCGCCCTCTTCTTCGCTCACTTGTTCTTCTATTACCCCCACTTCGTTCACTTTATCGCCCCTTCCTTCTTCGCTCATCCTCTCCTTTGCATCTCGTCTCGATCGTTTTTTTTACCGCCTCACGGTGTAGGTCCGCCAATACGGACGCCTGTGCGCAGTTTCTTGTCTCCGTGTTTTGAGGGATATCCGTCGCTCTGTGACCGATGGCGCTGTTATTGCAGAGGCCCCAGAGAGGCTGTCTCTGGCGAGCGACGGCTCCCAACAAAAAACGCCCGAACTTGTTGCGCGCTGGTGAATGGTGTTCACTGGAAAGTTTGGTGCTCCACATCGTCGCCTTTTTCAGTTACGGAATTGCGTTTTTCAAATATGTAGGATATGTTTGAAGAAGTTTCATCTCGAACATGTTTTTTTTTTGGCTAGTGTGCTCAGTTGATTGGATTTTGAGCATATTTGTTCGGCATTTTATCATTCTCAGGCAAAATTTAAATGATCACCTTTTCCTTATTAAACGTCATGCACATTATCTCACAACCTCTCTTTAAACGAGATATCTCGTTCGACTGCCGAGCTGGAATATCCATTCCATGATGTGGCAACGTTGTGTAGCTACAACACACGCCGTTTACGCTGCAATGCGGTTTAGTTCGGCGCATTATCCCGGAGTTAGTTCCTCTCGATTCGTCCGGGTATCGGGTTCGACCCGCCTCAGGCAGGCTGTCCGCTCCATTGGGTACGGCGTGGTCCGCGAGGGGGGGGGGGGGGCGCTCGCCCCAGGCTGCCCGGTGCGGTGGTGGAGGGGGAGGGACGGTACACATTTGGACGGTTTATGGGCGCCACCGCGTGCTGCCGGCCGCCTCTGCCGGCGCCGCCGGGGCCGGCCGGCGCCACACTCTGCCAACGCTACCTCTCAGCCGAGACGCCCGTACCGGGCCTTCAGCTCACGGCGGCAGATATTAGAATAGACGGCTCGACCAAATATAGGTGCGGATTTATGAAAACCTGCCTGGAAAATCGAGCCTTGGTAATGAAGATGTTAATTTTAGATTTTCAATGCATGGGCTGTGTGGAAAATTAACATTGCCGCATTTGTTGCTAAAGATAGCGCTAAGATTGTCGTAGAGCGTATGCTTGATCGGGTAAGCAGGCATTTAGTATTCAGGTTTGATATTTAGCGCGAACTCATTACGTCAGGCGGCGGTTGGGCACGGTCCCTTCGGTTCGCTTGCGTCATCTAAGGTTCGCGTGCTTTTTCACGTGTCAGTGCAACACGTGGTACCTATAACGAGTTGTGGCGCACGATTCCTATTTTTATCGAGTGAAGCGATGCGAGAATTGTCCGCAATTTTGAAAAGCATGTGGCTGACTAAAGAAATGCTCCCTTTGCTTAAACATAAGTTGGCTCAAGCTGTTGACTTGTCTTCATGCCTTATCCTAGCCTAGACATAATCTGGTGTAGTGTTTCAGCTTTACGGATGCTCTTGGGCAGATTCGGATTTTGTCCTCTAAGTTCATGCAGCTCTAGCTCTATAGTGATTGCGCTTTGTTTGTGATCCAAAACACTTTGAGCGTATAAAAATGTCCATGACAACCCCGTCCTGCCGCTGACAGTGTTGTGCGGTCTGGTGCGTTCCATCCTGTTTTTCTGCTCCTCTCGGTAATACCGGACCACGCTGAGCCGTCAAAGAGACGCGGCTCTTCTTGTTTGTCGAACGTCCTTACCGGGCGACGCCGCGGTAGAGGATTTTTGTCTGCGCAACACAACACGTACACCTCATCCGGCCCCACATACACACGCAGACACCTATGCAACCGTGCACACAGACATACCTACAGGTAGAGTTGATCAGTGAAAGTTTCCGTGTGTCGGTAAGTAATATGTCATGATATTCTTAATACGATCACGTGTACAATCTTGGAGCTGCTGTTTGGTCTTCTTACTTTTTTGGTCTTAACAGTGTCCTCAAGCGCATCATTCTAAGTCCTCGTTCAGTCGCATCTCGTTTGCACCTTCTCTCGAGAGAAGTCATTGCCTATTCCTTGTTTTGTATTCCACCGCGCCACGCAACTGATTCGTATGCCACCCACTGTTCACCGGGCATGCATATGTGGCTCACAGGCGGTATGTCCGACCCCATTCTGCGCCCGCCGGACGGGGCGGGGTGTCGGGACCGGAAGGGAACTTCCGGAGACAGCGCTACGGCCGGAAATGGGGACTGGTTCCTCCGGGGATAGACGTGTTATAGTGGTGGTGGTGGTCGTGCTGCGTGGTGGTTGTCGTGATGGTGGCGGTGCTGATGCTGGTGTTGGTGCTGGTGCTGGTGGTTGTCTTAGTGTTGGTGTAGGTAGTGAAAACCAGTGACGGTGATATTAAAGACAATGAAGATTTCATAGATAATAACCAAAGACGATGATCTAATTATACGGCCCAAGGCACCTCATGAGAGCTTTCCCTTGTTGCGTGGGCGCACAGCGCACCTGCACTCTGAACTAGGAGTGAGGTGCCTTGTCGGGTGAGAGTTAAAATGGCCGGGTCTCGAGGACCCGAACGAGAGCTGACAGCTTTATGGGCGCGATATTGTGTTGCCAAATGAGATTCGCGAACTTGACGCAATGCTCAGCAACAACACGCAACGCTAGGAGAGAAAATACAAGTGCTGTTGACATGACGTCTTATCGTATGCGACGATGGAGCTTAAGTGATTTTTATCCTTGCAAGCACTTTATCTGTTTCGTGCGTATGCGTGCTACCATAGACCTCTGCATACCGGTCTATGGGTGAACCATAGACCTTCGCTATACTGAGAGCTACCGTCTGGGATGAACACTGACTTAACCCTCGCATGTGTGCGGCGTTTGCCAGCTTCTAATGTGTAGGGGGGGGGGGGTCGGTTGGACCCCCCCCTTGCCGTTTGTCCCCTGATCGAGCTAGAGCTTCGCGGAAAAAACGAGCGTGTTGCCCGTGACGAGAGGAAGCCGATGATACCCAATTTTAAGGTCCTAGGTCATTGGTTGACCTTCCAGGTCAGGTCAATGACCCAAAGTCGGGAAAATCGGGACCTGTTAGAAAGTCGTAAAGTGTGGCTGCTAAGGGGTTTTTTGGGGTGCTGATCACGAATATCGTGTTAGTTTTGATCACAGATGATGTCTTGAAGCATTTAGACCAGGTCGGGTCAGGTCAGGTCAGGTCAACCAGTAGGCGTCGTGACGGGTATTCGTAGTACGTGTCAACCGCCTCTGACAGCTTCGTAACATGTTACGAAGTCACCAAAACTACTTCGTAAATGTTCAAATGGTTGCTAAATTCGAATTCAGCTCCAAAAACTAGCCTAGAAACATGTAAAACTCGAAAAAGTGACCCGAGGTCACCCGAGGTCACCAAAGGTCAATGACCTGACCTGACCTTCAGGTGACCTTGACACACACGGGAGTAACATCAAATCACATGTTTGAACGTTTGAAACCATGAAAAGCTTGCAAACACGCGGCTAGTGCGAGCCGACATACGCGAAATCGCGATTCCGGCCAAACATGGTCTCGGAAAAGAGGTCACAGGTCAAAGGTCATTTGGGTCAGGGTCATGAAATTTTCAGGGTAGGTGTCAAATTGATCAATGCGAGGGTACTGAAAGTTTCGTCGCGATCGGCCGCTTTTTACGCGAGTTATTCGCGAAAAACCATGGGGGGGTCCATCCGACCCCCCCCCTACACATGCGAGGGTTAAGTATACTTATTACACAGTATGCTCTTTGCAATCGTAAAAGTTGAATGCTAAATGTGCTGCAAGTAATCCTAAACTTTATCTGATGAACGCCCCTGCCATCCAGTCGAGATCAGCCGAGTAGCTCGCCGTTTCCGTCGTTACACGCTCGGAATCACAACGTTTCCGACCCATCTATCAGCGGCCTAACGAGCCGAACCGCCCGATCATCACACCCCCCTCCCGGCCCACAGGTGCCTCGGCTCGACACAGCACCTGAAGAACAAGTACGGCGGCGGCTACATGCTGGAGATGAAGCTGGGTGCCGGTGATGACCTCTCTGACCGCATCGCTGAGGTGAGCCGCCGGATGTGCTATTTACCTGGAGGAACGTGATCGATAGCTCGCCCTAATGGTGAGATCCCCGGAGAATCGCCGCGCTATGGCGGAGTCATGGTCGCGTCGGTCATCAAAGGTCGTGGGCCGGAAACGGCTTCATCGCCAGCTGTTTTTCGGGAAAAGTTAAACTGATGTGTATATGTACTTTGTAGATGAAATGTTGTGCATACAGCTGCACCTTATCCTCCGCACGGATTTACCCTGATCGTTGAGATATTGGCGTCATAAATGATGATGAAGTTGTTTGCTAGCGATCCTAAACCCCTACAAACAACAGCTTCTTATATTTTATGATGCCAATCTTGAAATGATTTCAACATATTCGCGTTTTCTTCAATGACCAAGCGTATACGTCCCGCGGCTAATGATCGAGGCGGCTCACTTCCGCTGCGCGCCGCTCACGTCACGGCAGAGTGCAGTCTGCACCCGGCCGCCTTCCCATCACTCTGTGGCTCTGAGAGCTGCGACCAAGACCGAGCGGGTCGCACCCCCTGACCCGGTGCCTCGGGGGCGCACCGGTCACCGCACCGATACCCAGTAGTCGGCGCCGGCCGTCGTCCAACTCGGCCTGAAAAGGTCGCCGGCGGGACGAACTTGTGCCGGAGGTGGGACCGACTGGGCCAGACCTAACCGACGCTAACGCGTCACTCGGTGGCCAAATCATCGACTAAAGTCGAAACTGCAGTTCGGCAGTGATGGTATTAGGGACTGTTTTAGCTAGTTGCGGACTGACGGTTCCAACTTGCTTATAGGATCGAAAGTCGAAACGACTGGTGGAGCGAGAGGTTGAAAGATCTGGCGGGTGAGCTAAACATACTGAATAACTTTAGGGCTATTCCTCGGATACAAGTCAAAATTGTCATTGGTGAACTGGCGCCGTATCGGGGTCTTCAGCCCGACGTTAGCATAACGTGGCAAAAACGCGACTTCTACGCATGCATGTCAGTGCCCACTCATATTTTCTGGACAGTAATCTACTGCATAGTCTTGGCAGTCTTACGATGACAGCCCTAAATATCAAACCTTCGCCTCAGGCAGCCATATCCCTTCAGCGACTCGACGAGTATCGCCTCATTTCGTAAAGACAAAACACCATCCACCTTTTGATGTCATTATCTGATTATGCATGTCTATCGTCACACCTCAATTTGTCGTAACGTATGTCGCCGTCTCATTTTGTCATAAAACACCACGCTACTTCATTTCATCGAGCCACAGTTATGGTCCTTCCGATACTTCGATCGTCCTGATTATGATTCTGCTCGGCTCGCGCGGGCTATATCACCTTTGCGTTTTGTACGACGCCCTGGTCCCCTCCCCCACTGCTACCAGGGGTTCGTTGCAAGGCGGAAGTGCCTCCGGACGTGACTTGGCGAGGAAAGTGACCCGCGCCGCAGAGTCATAGCGACAGAGACGATTTGGCGGCGGGGTCCAATGTGTCAGCGAAACGGCCGACATTGGCAGGTCGTTTTGGGGCGGCGGCTCGGGCTGTTAAAGTGGTCGTCTTCCCTTTTCTATGGCGGTATTGTTGCTATAGGTAATTCTGGCTCTCCTAGAGTTCTTCGGAAAAGCAGAAGCGCCTAGCGTTTCGTGCTGCAGCTTCCGCACACGACTCTATTTTTGCCATTGTTTTGATGATAGTTGTATTGAAGGTTATTGTCCGCTGAAAAGGTTGCTGATATTCTTAGGCCAAAGTTCGAACAAAACAAGCTAATGACTTGACACTGGTAACAATAGATGATTGTTTTCGTCATCTTGACAGCTTATTAATGGTTAATGTTGATTGTTTTTAAAAAGGGCGCTATCAAACATGGTTGCGTTACTAATACTAATCTGTGAAATTAGCTTCCAAGTGATTGTTACGTGTAACCATGAATATAATGATATGAAAACCAGATGTAAATTCACGCATTTGGTAATCGCATTATTTTTAAGGTAGATCCAAAATTCACCATGTGAGTATTTCACATTTCAGAATTCAATACCATAAGTTGAGCTGCATGGACCGATTCTAGTAGCTTTAAATAAACCTGACTGTGTCACAGCCGAACAACGATTTATCTCCAGACTGCATCCTGTATTACCGCATCTAACCCCTGTTCTGTGTGTAACTTTGGCCCAATATCGTCCCACGTTGCCCGCCTGCTGTGCAGTCAAGCTATGAAGTTCGTCCAAACTCCAATGACGTCATCCGCTAGGGTTCTGTAATACACTGGCGTTCGATCGGAGCATGGGCCGTTAGGTTATATTACCTGGCAAACGGCTACAGACGCCCTGGCGACGGGCCGTGGCTATCACCAGGTGTAGGTACCCAGTAGTGATGTCAATTACGGAAAATTGGATTACCGATACCAAACCAAATACCAACCAAAACCGTGGAGAAATACCGAAACCAAACCAACTTGG